GTACTCGAAGATACGATGCCAGTCAGCGGCAGCTGACTTGGATCGTGATCCGGACTTATTTAGTATCTCGTAGAAAGATCTCGAAGTAATACGAAATGTATTTAAGTAGAACGTTTCTCTCTCGAGAGGCTAATTCTAGTTCTCTGTTACATTACTCTGCTCTCTACTTACAACAATCCTCTTTCGTGTCAAAGGTGAATCCATCCAGTAGTGGCCCAGTATAAATCTAACGGCCTTCACCTCGTTCGTCAGAAGTGCGAGAGAGAGAGAGATAACACTCACCAATGAACCGAGTTGAGCTTAACGTCCCCCGTTCCGATATTTGGCAGAGCACTGAACGATACCTACAAGCTTCAGGCAGATACAGAGTCTCCTTGGGTTTCCATGGCAGCTGGTTATCTCCCCTCGTGTTCAGCCGAGGCATACATACACTTCGAGGAGACATTCTGCCAGTTCAAGGAGGACAGAATCTGTCGTAGTCCTCCTACAACGCTGTCGTGGCAACAGGCTCATGTCAAAGCAGGAATATAGCATTGCCAGTCTCTGGCAGGTACATTTGTGCTAAATACGGTACGATATGCTCTTTGCACGGTTTCAGTGATCGCATTGTCGAATGAATGGCGATGGTAAACAAGGGGATCCTAGCAGCAACTTGGGTACACATCACTAAAAGGGACGATGCGCAAGGTGTTTTCGCCTGCCTTCATTGTATCAAGATGAAGGTCTCCGAGTGCTTTCGACATTACGTCGATCGAGTTATAGGTGCGCTTCAGATCATCCAGGTCAAGCTGAAAGAACACGGGTCAGTATGAATAATCGAGTGGGCCATCTTCGTACACACAGATAGCTCGTTGGCGAAGGAAAGAAAAAAAAATATTATGCTGGAAGAGTCGATGTTGCTGAGACGTATGGCGAGTACGTACGCCATTATTGAGCGCTTGGTCGATCAGCTTCGGCGGCGCATCGAGGAAATGAATCTCGAACAGAGCTGGCAGTTGTGGTCCGTTGCAGTTCTGTAATCGCCAGTAGAAGATAGTCGTACGCACCACATCCGGACTCGATAAGGAACAAAGGTCGTCCAAATGCAACCATCTCTTCTTGAGGTTCGTTACCTCACCACGAATTGAATGGAGACCGATAATTCTTGTCAAGGACCTTGTTGAATTTGGGAGGCGCAACTACCAGGATCTCCGCAGCACAAGTGTTTTATATCATGCAGCATTGGTTTTGAATATATTGTGATTCAATTGGAGATAGTGATATTGTAGCAGTGATAATGAAGCCAAGGAAGATACCAATAGAGAAGACGTAGTTTAGGTGTGAGCGGCAAAGACGGCGAGTGCCGTCGGCCATATGCGGCCCACCATGACTTTTGGACACAAATGTTCATTATGCCGGCTATTTTATTTTGAACTCGTTTTCTTCCAATGGATCACCGACTACCTGATTTTATTCAAGCGTTTATGTAGCCCAAGTTCGCACTGCTGCCCTTCCTGCCATCGTTCATTGCAACAAAGATACGGCCTTTCTCCCCTGCACACGCAGCACATCGAGGACCAGGTTCCCAAGGGAAATTGGAAAGGCACGCGGCTTTGGGTGAAGGTTATCAATGTCTGGATAGGTATCCTTCTGCAGCGAAGTGAAGGTGTGTGTCGTGTTTCCTTCCAAGCTACTTTAACTTGAACATCTATAGGACAACGACAATCGAATATGGACTACTTGGGATATTTCGGCACTCAGTCACAGGCCAGGAGCTACAAGCACAAATTTCCCACTACGACCTTGGTCCATCCCTATGACATTCGGACATTACTCCACCTCTTCTCTTCTCTGCGACCGTGGATAGGGAGAAGACGTGAACAGTTCACCGTGTAGCCTCTCCCTCTTACATGTCGCATTTGTGGGGATAAATGAAGTCGGTAGTCGCATGGTGGCAGCTCCGAGGGATTTCACCAATGCCAGAACACAGTTTAGTCAGCTTTCTGGATATCTTATCGTCGTGAAGGGTAAGGTCTATGGTTGTGAGACCGAGTCGACCCTCATATGAATCTTCCAGATGGATTCGCTCGAAATCAAACCAGTGAGCCCGCTCTTTCTCGTCGGCACACCCATCTTCTCAAATTTGACAAGGTATCTTCATCCCCAACGAATTGTCTACTGTGTCGCTGTCAGCCAATATTTTCTGCTGCTTGCCAAAACGATATCCCACTCTCTCTGTCGTTCCACGACGAACGGATCCTTTTCAAGTTATATATACCCTGGAAACTCCTGTCGGTGCTGTGACAGACGAGACGTTGACCAATGTCGTCAAGAAAAGGACAAATAGACACGACATGTCACGGCCACGTGAACAGAATAACGGTCTCTCCGACTCCCACTGCTTTCGCCGCCGCCATTCCCAATCCGATCTACAGGATATCGTGTCTCACTCTTTGGACTCCAACTACAATGGCATCTTCGTTCTCGACTGGCAGCAGCGATACAACTGAGAGTACCAGCGAGACAGTGTGTGGTTAACATGTTTCAAGAGGCCACTGACTATCTTCCCACCTCCAATTCAATCGTGCAGTAGGCAGTTCGACATGGTCATCAATACTGCATCTAACGTTCCATGGTGCATCCGCAGCCATACCACGCTATTCTCGTCCTCGGGGTCGAAACCGGTCTCTGTACCCGACAACGAGCATACGACGTCTGGTATTTTCCCACCGTCCCTTATTCAAACAGAGAACTCACGGAGACATCAATCGCTTTCCTTGCAGAGAGTATTCTCTTTCTGTCGGCCGTGCTCGTTTTACATCTGAGCCAATTCTGACCGCCATTGGCACCGGCTGACGACGAACACCGAGGGTGGCATCCCTCATGAGCGCAGATAAAACTATTTCCGGATGATCGCAAAGAGAGTCGAAGAATATTGCGTACCCGAAGATTAGGACGTTACTCTATGAGCTGTTATCTCGTGCTGCGCACTCGTCTACTTGACAATATTTTTGTCAAAGCGTGTGGGAGGACAAAGACAGGGGAAGTGGGTCTGAGGCGCGCAACAAAGATAAGTCCAGGTGCCACCATTAATCGTCTGGCTTTGTCCCTTTGCACAGACCTACTTAAAAGCAATCTGGACTATGATAGTTACCCACTGCATCCATTCCCGCTTCTCCTTCCGCGATGAACGGACTAGGCTATCCTACTTCTTACCAATCTGGTGCGAGCCAGCTTGTCCCTGCGAATTCCTCGATATCTTTCACGAATCATTCAGCACCAGCATATGGAGCAGCCATGAATGTTCAGATTCAAGCACCTGTTCCCGAAACATTTTCTACCTTACGGTCGCCTTCAGGCTGGAGTGCACCATCGAGACAAACCAGCCGCCCGTGCCGCTGTGGCCGCGGAAGGTGTAGGTGGCAATTCTCCTACCCTATCCGAATGATGATCGCTGTCTACAAAGAATTACCGTTCCAACCGCAATCGCAAGGATCTTGGTCAGTGCCTCTTCACCAAGTCCAAGCTAGAGCTCATCTTATCACAGCCCGCACCCACGGAAACTCAGCATATATCAGAAAGAGACGTTCCTGGTGTCGCAGAACGGTCCCGAAGTGAGCTTCCTGAAAACGTTCGAGAGCCCGCTGTATCGGTTCAGCCGGAACAATGCTCAGCGGAGGCAACTTTTCCTCAGGTGCGAGCCCTGGGTTGATGCAGACAGGGTCGAACGGGACACGGTGGTGTGTTTAGGATGCAGGTGT